GGCACTCGCCCCGCACTCGGGGCGCACTCGGGGTGCACTCGCACCGCACTCGTTCTGCCCTCGGGCCGCACTCGCACCGCACTCGCAACGCACTCGATGCCGCACTCGAATTGCACTCGAGTTGCACTCGCACCGCACTCGCACCGCACTCGTTTCATTTTTATAGGGGATACCTGGAGAACTGTGCGGAAAGGCTTCACCGGTCGAGTCGCCGAGTACAGCATGGTGTTGGTCGAGGCCCTGGCCTCATGCCCCTGGCGGTCCCACCTAGAGCGGCTCGGCTGGCCCTTGAAGGGTTCGAGGATGTGCGGCTGCTGCGTCGGGGGCGCTGCCCTCGCTGTTCGGCCTGCGCCACCTGTGCTAATATCCAGTTTAAAATTTAGCCGTTTTCACGCTGAGTGCGCGGGCGAGCCCGGAAGCACTGTTAAAGTTACACCTATCGCACAACCGGATCGAGTTTGATAAAGATTAAATGGGACCATGAAAGAAGTGAAGCGGGTGCTGGTTAGGTTAGTCAGCCCGCTGCGTCACTTCTCTCAGTCTGGTCCAACTATAATCAAGTTTGGTCTAGCGCGCGATGTGCTATTAGCAATAATGAAATTTCAATGGCTTTTACCTTCGGTAAGTCCATACTGCATTCAGGCTCAGGCTATCCTTTTCTCACGGGTTTCCGTCAGCGCTACATCGGAGTGGTACGACGCGGCGTCGCCTGTCTCTCTCCCACAGTGACTGTCTCTCTCAGTGCTCTCAGCCAGCCTCACCTCACGTCGACGCCGCAGCCGCCGGTCGCCGCCGGCGTTCTCCGTTCGTCGTCACTTTCGTGTTCGTACGCATACGCATTCTAGTCGGACTGCAACCCGCGTCAGGAGATCGTGTTTTGTCGTTTTGTCTTCGCCGAGGGTCTGATCAGATCATCAAAATCAACTTCTCGTCCACTCTAAACCAAAGGTAGGCCTGTCAACAACGGATCACACGGCGCTGTCACGGTACGCGAAGCAGATGAGACATTATGCTTGTTGGTTGGAGCCCGGCTTAGGTTAGGTGTTCGGTTTATGTGACTTGGCATGGCAGCGGCAGGGTAGAACGCCAATCTCTCTAGAATCCTGCACGCCGATTGATCAACATTTAGTCTCGGCCTTCATTTCGTTTTTTACTTACGACTGTGTGATTGTGAAATTATGTGAAAAGCTATGACGATGGTGGGGACTATTTTCTCGGCGCGCAATGTTTGTTTATTTACTCAACAATGAGGATGAGGATACTGGACTTTTAAGTTAAGATACGAACGTACAGAGGGGTTTTGATTTGTTTTTGTGCTAGGGCTGCATCTTTAGAGGTGGGCAAACAGAGCGAGGGACTGAAAACTCTTCATGGCGAAAATCAAAGCCGATTCGGTTCAAAATTGAATCGGCGAAGTTTCTTGGCATGCTGAGTTCGAAAATAATATTGGAATTCCTACGAATAGGCATTGGACGCTTTCCGTAGGATAGACCTCAGAGACGCGGCCCGCGGGCCACTCTGGCCCGGTGCGAGAGAGACGCAGATAGTAGTGTGGAGTGCGTGAGTGCGAGCGAGAGGTCCCACCCGTGCGGCCCGCGCGTTGTCTGCTCTCTGAGGCCCCTGCTATAGACACGTCCGTCGCCGAGGCGTTCCCGACAACCCAATGACGTCATCGGGGACCTCGAGCAACGGACGACACCCTTCTAAACAAAACAGATTCAGTTCATATCGAAAGTTTTTTCTGCCCAACTCGCTGAACTTGGGGTCCGTCCGAATTCTCGTCCGGATGGGTCGGTTCGGTTCGGTTGGCTCTGCGGCCTTTGCGAGCCGCGCCAGCCGCAATTCGGCTGCTACCAACACCCGCGACGCCGCGAGGGCCACGACCGCGAGTGCCCCGCGAGATGACAGGCCGCGAGGCGCGAGGATATGCACCCCTACGACGGGGGGTGATCCGTGGGGGTGACTCGCGAGCTATCCCATAGCGGGGGAGACTCGCGAGGATAGCGCTGCAACCTGTCGCGAATGTGTGGCTGCCCTGAGCGGCTGGCGCGGCTCGCAACGGCCGCAAAGCAAACCAAACCGAACCGAACCGACCGATCTGGACGAGAATTCGGACGGACCCTTGAACCGGGTTAGGTGGCGGGAGGACGTCATCGAGGACCACCCGAGCACCCCGATGACACCCCTCTGAAGGGCACGGATTCGACTCAAATTTAGTAACGGTTACGCAAGCTTAGCTCGAATCTGGTATGGGCCGCGCCTTGCAGACATTCCAGGGGTCATCAATGGTGTCATCCAAGCACACCGCCGATGTTCGAAACACGAGAGTGCCAAGGCCACCCCTTCGAAGCACCACGACGAACAGCACCATGCTGAGCAGAGGCTCGCGCCGGAAAACGCCAGCGCCTCTCATGGGCGGCCGGCCGGTGCTGCTGTTCGACGTCCATGGTGGCGCCGGCATGCCGGCGCTGCACATGACGGCGGCCGGCGGCCTCGCGGCGGAGGCGGTGGCGTCGTCCGGCACTTGCCTGGTCAGCACGGTGCTCGTCGACGTGGTGCTGCAGCGCTTTAGCATGCTCGTGCACTTGATTGCCACGTTGGCAGCCAGGGCCTCGTGAGGGAGGGGGTGGCGTTGTCCGGCCCGAGCCTCGGGGCAGTACGGTGCTGGTCGACGAGGTGCTCTAGGGCCTCGGCATGCCCGTGCCGTCGCTGCCCACGACGGCGGTCGGTGGCCTCGCGGTGGAGGCGGTGGCGTCGTCCGGCACTTGCCTGGTCAGCACGGTGCTCGTCGACGTGGTGCTGCAGCGCTTTGGCATGCTCGTGCACTTGATGACCACGTTGGCGGCCCGGGCCTTTTGAGGGAGTTGGTGGCGTTGTCCGGCCCGAGCCTCGGGGCAGTACGGTGCTGGTCGACGTGGTGCTCTAGGGCCTTGGCATGCTCGTGCACCTACTGCCCACGACGGCGGATGGCGGCCTTGTGAGGGAGGCAGTGGCGTTGTCCGGCGCGAGCCTCCGCTCAGCACGGTGCTGTTCGTGGTGGTGCTCTAGGGCTTCGACCTCGGAATGACCGTGCCGTCGCTGCCGCGGACGGCGGCTTTGTGAGGGAGGCAGTGTTTTTTATTGCGGAATCTGAAAAAGCATGACATTTTGCTCAGGAAGCCGCTCTCCCCAACCCTGTAACTAGTGCACAAGACCTCGAAAAAAAATCGTCAATACATTGAAAATTGTGTAATTTTGGCCATTTTTACCGTTTTGCCAATCTTTAGCCCTCTTTATCTTCTAAACTATGGGAATATGTAGTACTTTTCTTAGTATAAATCGAAAGTACTCGACGAGAGCTATCAGATGCAGGTGTCGAAAGTACCGAAAAACTGTGTGAACATCGTCGTTTCATTAGTGCAAAACGTCAAATTTGAAGTTCAAAAATTGCTGTTTTTACCAAATTAAGGTCAGAAAAAGGGGACATGGGTAAAATCTGAGTACAAATTTAGGTTCTCCGCATCAAATTACCCCCTAGGGCACCTGACCTTGGGATACAACGCCGTAATAAAATTAAAACCAAAACTTTGCCCAAAACCCCTCAAAACGTGCAAACAACCTTAAAATGGGGATATCTCCGGAACCATTGGAGCAACAGCGGAAATATAAATCATTTTGGGGTTCTCTTAATGCCCACTTCAAATACTGATAAGGTGAAAGAATGCGGTAAGGGTCACCGGAGATTAGGTAAAAGACTCCTGGATCCCACCCCAAAACGTCCTGCACGTCTGTCCTCAGCGTGTCGTCCCCTCTTCTTCAGACCCTGCCTGGACCCGCCCCTGCCGCGGTTCGTGTCCCCGTCCGTGTTGTTCTGACGCCTCGATGGCCCTTGTCTGTGCAGGGCGCGTCACTCGCATCTCACTCGCTGTTCGCAGTAGCAGTGTGCCCCGCCTGGTCCCAATATAGTCTGCTCCGAGTCACGCGCACGAGGCTGGCCATTAGCACATCTTACATTTATCGTTAAGGTAAGCCAGTCGACTGTGCATAACTTACAAAAGCAGTATTTCATCGTTTCGTGCTTTTTAAAGTTTTGCATTACCGCGCAGTTTGTGTCTCTCGTGGCTCGATGGCAATGTCCATGCTGACCCTGGAGCAGCTCCCGGACGACGTGATCGTGATGGTGCTGCAGCACCTGCCGGTGGAGGACGTCCTCGACTGTCGCCTCGTGTGCAAGAGGCTCTGCGGCCTGTCCCTGCAGCGTGACGTCTGGCGCCACCTGTCACTGAAGGACGACAACCCCCACGCGGGCGCGGTGCTGCACCTGGCCCCGTGCCTCGACAAGCTGACCGTCACGGGCCGAGTCCCGACCCTAGCGGTGACCACGACCAGTTGCGCCGTGTCAAACTTGGAACTGGAGGACGGCGAGGCCTTTGACGACGCAAAGTACGCCTTGGCCGTGCTCAACCAGGAGTCCCTCGGGCGCCTAAAGAGACTTGTCCTCGGTATAGTGAGCCCCAAAGAGATGATAAAAGCCGACCTGCTGTTCAGGACTGTTGCGGCATGTGCCGGCCTGGACTCGCTTAGTGTCTTTTACGAGCCGCCCTCAACCACCCACCCCATTGTTCGTGGGCCGCCCGCCTCGTCGCTCACTATGTTCAGGTGCGTGGTCGGCGGAAACTCCGCATCCTTTGTAAACGCCATACTGGCCGGGCACGCGGCTACCCTTGAAGAGGTTGAGATCGACAACGCAGATTCCGACTTGAAGAATACCACGCTGGCGGACCTGTTAGCCGCCATGCCGAGACTCCACAGTCTGCGATGCGACAGTACACTCAGCGGGTTAGAGAAAGTGGCGGAGTGCAAAACGCTCACAGATGTGAACATTTACCTGTGGAGGTTCCGCGGTGATTTAGACAGGGTAGCAGAGTTTCTCCGTCGAGCCAACCAGTTGCGACGTGTCCACCTGCAGAACTCCACGGTAGATTCCATCGGCAAGTACTGCACCGTGCTGGTCGAGGCTCTGGTTTCGTCCCGGCGGTCCCTCGTAGAGCGGCTGGCCCTTGATGCGTTCGACGACGTGCGGCCGCTGCTCCGCGCGCTGCCCTCGCTGCCCGCCCTGCGCCACCTGGACCTGGACGGTGCCGAGCCCGACGACGAGCTGCTCATGAGCATCACCCCGGTCACGGCCCCGGCGCTGAGGCTGCTGGAGATTGCACTTGTCGGGGCGGGGAGGTGTCCCCACGCCTGGATGCACGGGGCCGCCGTCAAGGCCACGCTGACGGCCAACCCCCTGCTGCACATCCAGCTATGGTGCAACGCTGGCCACTGGTACGCACCCCAAGAGTGTGAAGTGTGTCCGGAGTACTGTCATCGAGGCGTTGAGTGGCACGCAGTGGAGAAGATAGGCCTCTACTCGCACGCCCCCGAGCAGTGCCCCTCTCCAGAAGACCACAATGACGACGTCGACTGGCAGAGGTGCTTCGGCCGTCGTACTAACGTTGCGTGTACGTGGATCCATTTGTAATGTACTTGTGATTGATTGTGAAAGTCAGACGTGTTAATAAAAAGGGTTAATGTCTTTCGTTGTTCATTGTGCGTCAGATTCCCTGAACACTTAATGAATGATAAGGTTTCGCTTGTGTTGTATACTGCATCTGCCTATTCACACACTGTCGTGCAAATATCCGGTACCCAAGCTTATATGTACTACTGCTCGCACTCTGTCACTTCACTTCGCAATAAACCAGTAAACTCAACCAGTCCGCCTCTTTACTTCATTTGCAACACTGAGTGCGAGCAGTAGTACATATAAGCTTGGGTACCGGATATATGCACGACAGTGTGTGAATAGGCAGATGCAGTATACAACAGCTTGAAACATAGGGTCACTCCGTCTGTGCTATATGGCATATAGCGCGTGAACCTCCACAAACCGTCGACGCACGGTAAAAAAAAAAAAGGTTCTTGCTTTTAAAGACCCGGTCTTGGATCTTATAGAGAACGCTAATGGGTATTCTACACAATTTGCGCTATTGCAGGTCGCAGTTCTTTTGGCTGTTTGTGCATTATGGGCTGGCCAGGGCCAGGGAGAGAAGGGGCAGGGACCGGGGTTTTTCCTAACTGCTCAGCAACGCAGTGCGGCCGGCGAGGAGGGGTTGGGGGTCTCATAGGCCTCACGTCGAGTCGTGCCCCACCTTACCTCACACCCCATGCACAATCCCGCCGGCAGCGCAGGCGGACAGATAGACAGAGAAGCCCCCAAGAAGAGAGCATCGCTTGATCAGGAAACTCTCCACACTGGTAAAACAAAGGCACTAAACAACACCTTTCCCGGGGCACTAAAGTCAAGGGCCCAGTTTAGTGCCTTTCCTGGGGCGCTAAAGTTTCGTGCCTTTTCAAAGGCACTCAACTTGTATGGAACTCACATGAAGCTAAGCCAGCTGAAGGTGTGAAAGGTCACATTTAGTGCCTATGCAAAGGCACTAAACTTTCGTGCCTTTGGAAAGGCATTAAACTTTCTTAGGTCCCTTTTAAAGGGGCTTCGCACCTTTGTTTTTCCAGTGCAATCACCCTCCAACAGAGGCGAGCGCATGGGCAGGGCCACGAATCGCATCACTCCACTCGAAGTGTGCCTCCGGTTCCGGTCAGGTGTCAGGGTCCGGGTGCCGCTCGAGTTCGAGACCGCTCATCAACCCAACTTCGCATCTGACCTATTGCCAAGGTAGGCCAGTCGGCAGTGCATACTGACGCTGTGTTTCGTGTGATTTAAAGTCTTGTGCTAATGTAAGGTGCCCCGTCCCCAGGTTCCTAGCACGCCGTTGACGCTTTGTCATGGACCCCGTTCCAGCGTCCGTGCTGACCCTCGAGCAGCTCCCGGACGACGTGATCGTGATGGTGCTGCAGTACCTGCCGGTGAAGGACGTCCTCGACTGCCGCCTCGTGTGCAAGAGGCTCTGCGG